TTCAACTTTTAAGAAAGTTCCAGAGTGTCCTCCCCTTGCTGCCTAGCACTGATGTTCAGCTGGCTTAAAGAAGACCTCACTTACATAACTTACAAGAAACATAAATCAGCTCTTTGGAAACATTTCTACCTGATCAATACAGACACTCAAAATATGGACACTAGAAGAAACTCCATCTATCACTTTTGTAAGGTAATATTGTTATAAAACCACACAGCAATACCCAGGCAGCATTAAATGACATTTGCCACTAAATTAGAGGATACTTTATAGGATTCTATGTTTCGTATATGATGTGATTTTCAACATCATATACAAATATACATTTCAACAATTATATCTTGGAAAAAATATTTAAGATAACATATTTTATTGTTGAAAGTAGTAGTATAATTGTTTGTTTTTTTTTCAGCAGCATCAGGCAGAGTTGTAGCTTTTCTGCCATAAGTATGCTTATTATATTTGCACCCTTCAGGTTATCTAAAGGCTCTTCAGGCTGTGTTGAACTAAACAAGGAGCAACAGAGTTTAGTTTCTATGCTCCTTAGCTCTGGAACTGACTGCCTCAAACATAATATATGAAAAAAAAAATTGTTTGCCTTTTTGAATCTTGACTGCAGAAGACATTGATATTTTTTACAGCTTACCCTTAAGATCAAAGACTATTTTTTTTATTTAGTTTCTATACCTTAGCTTTTTATATGCTGCAATTCCAATGCTTCTTTCTCTTTATGAGAAGTTGAATGATTTTTTATGTTTTACATTTCTTTTTTATGCATCTTATTGTTCTGATTTTGTGCAAAGCTTTTGTCTATAACCCTGTATTGGCGCCATTACACAAACAGATTTGCCTTGTCTATTGTAGGAAAATAAATAACAGAATTCCATCAAATGGCGTTCAATAAAATATAATTTTAGCAGTTATTCCAGGTTTGTTATTTGTCCTGTTTTTCCATCAAACAGATTTTTTTTTTGTGTAGATAAATTGTGCATGTAGTAGTGATTTTAAAAGGTGAAGAAAGTTTAGAAATCCTCTAACGATCAAATTGATTTCAGACAATATGCTAGCATTTTAATCTCCCCTGTTTGTGTTTTCATCTCAACTTTTCCCAGGGCAACATACCTACAGCGCCTTTCTTTGAAATACAAAAAACCTTTAAATAATTAACAAATCATCTTTAGTTGACATTTTTTTCCGAATGTGGGGAACACCAGGAGGCATTCAAAGTGCTCAACACATTTTGTTGTACTGCACTTGGGAACATCCTCATCTCATATTAAAAACACACAAAAAAGTGTTTCCTCACTACTCAGAAAAACCCTTTTAGGGCAACTCACTGATTGGTTTGACAGTGATACATTCAAATGGGTCATCCTGTAATTGTTCTTTCCTGTGGCTACTGGCCGAGCTGGAATTACATAACGATGATAAAGCTGGGGGACCTGGCCTTCCAAGATAAAAGCTGCCACGCAGGGCCGCATGCATTCTCTAGATGCTTCTTCTGAGAGGTCTTCAGAAGGAAGTGATTATTGTGGAGCTCCCCACTAATGCTCCACTGGGACTGGACCAGTCAGTCTGTTATTCATCAAATCCATACAGTGTAAGCTCTGGCAGCTCTGGAAAAGCATAAATAATGTGTGAGCATGTTATTCTGTGATGACATTTCACATAGCGACAAAGGACGTTTTAACACACTCTTCTATGTGGACATTTTACACCCCAACAAAAGCACCCACTGGTCTTGGATGGAGATAATGGATGGCCCCAATTTGTAACATAAAAGCAGTGAAGATATTTTTTTCCAGGGCTGTTGAGGGCAACCAGCCTTCAAAAGACATCCCACTGCCATATGATCAAATCAGATGCTAAGGGTGACCAATATGACCTTGCAACTAGAAACAGCACAAAGGGTGCTCAGTTGTCTGCTTAGCCAGGCAACAGAAAAACCCTGCTCAGAAAACAATGGAGCTCCTGTGTCTAAGCGTTGTTTATCTCATGAGCGAATGGTGTGCCAGGCTGTGGAGCAGCTCTGCACTCATGAAATAGTCGCCGGAAGAGATGCCGCCATGGCACACGAATATTACTGCAAAGAGGAAATGATAAGAATGAGGCAGGGTGACGTAGATCCAAGCAAATATGTGTTTGGAATGCTACAGGAATGAAGCGTCACTCATGAGGGAATGCAGCGGGGTGAACACCAAGCAGTAAAGGAATTCCGGGTGTTGCAATCTAACTATGATGTAAATGTTCTACTTTTCTTTTGATAAACATCACAGACCTGAGTCATGTTTAAATAGTCCTTGTGTTTATTTATTTTATTCAGTCTTTTAATACATTCATATTTAAAATGTCCCTATAGGGAAAAAGATTCACGAGTTTACCAATGACCACAGGCCTGTTTTTCTTGTATCCGTTTTCTATGTTAAATAACATTTGGATTTGCTGACCTATATCTGTTTTGCTCCAGAGAGGTAGCTAGATAAGATGATAGAGGCAGACAAAATTTTTTTGTTTATCAGTTGTCATATTTACAGCCCAAATAACGTAACGTCACTCACTATTCCTCAAAATTGTCATGTACAATGGACTCATACCTTATCAACAATGCTAAGTGACAATCAAGTAAACATAAACCAGGGGTTACCTTACATTTTAATGGGATTATTGTACGGATATGCTGATTATAGGTATCATAAACCATAAATCCAGTTCTTAAGACAACACAATGTGCAATATTTAGTGTAAGAGTACAAGACGATCTTCCTTGTTGTCTTTATTGTTTTAACACATAGCGAAACAATTTCATGCATCCGAAGCTGCATTTAAAAGAATTTCTCATTGGTATTCAACTGTCTACTCCAAGTTTTAAAAATTACTGTTGCATTATTTAAGCCTTAAACTCTGAAATTTTGAGGAGGTAAATAAATTCAGAGAAATTCTTATTTTTATGTATTTATTTTTTTGCTTCAGTTTACTCAGACAAAACAGGTTTTTGTTAGAGTTTCTGAGTAGCCACTTAGTCTTTAGTGGCAAGATTGTGTATTGCCCTTTTCCATTGGAACCAGCTCCTTTTGCTTATTTTTGGTAGTTTTCAATTAGCATACAGTAGAGCAAGCTACAGGAATTTAGATAAAGATGGAGAAACAGGTTTTAATCGTCCATATTTAGTACAAACACAAGGCAAAATGGAGGACCTACTGCGCAACGTATGGCTAATTTTACCTCGTTTTACACACAATAAACCCAGCATACAGTGATTTAAGCATTGAAGATAAATGGCAGAGTTAGAACTGTCACTGTTTATTAGGAGTCTCAAGTTTCGCTTATATTGTGACCCCAGGAGACCAAAAGCAGGGACAGAGGATCTGAATAGATCATTTGAGTAGAACAACAGAAAGAGAGGGAAAACATATTACAAACTTAAATCTGTATTTATAATAAATTAAAGTTCTGCCCCTAAAACAATCCATTGAAAATACTTGGCCCAGTATAAAAATCTTTCCCTGGGAATATAAACTGTGTCAATTGAAGGCTGGCATTTTTTTTTTTTACTTCAGCTATTCCATGGACTACTTCCTGGACTGGACAAGCAGCATAAATATAAGAACGTAAAACCGCTTTGAAACCAATTTGGTGATCTGTGAGTATGATACATTGCGTTAAATGCAGCAAATACTGCTTTTTTATTAACCTATCATCTAACTCAAAATAATTGACCAAATGTAGACTACACAGTGCATTTAAACAGAAATAGCAGAGAAAATGCATTGTTTCTCTCAAAAACTTTTTTGGAAAAGGTAATCTATCAAATCCCAATGTATAAAGTGGAGGGTTTCAAAACAAAAACTGAAGTTGACATGACAAGGGGAAGTTCAATTTAAGTAATGTGAAGCACCCATGCAGTATGTATCTACAGTATAGCTCACGTATAGCAAGTTAAAGGTATTTTTCAGCAAAACATAGAAAATACTAGCCAGCTGTTCTTCCACCATATATTTCAAAAGACACCAAATTACGCTACGTTTTAACATTTTTTTAAGTACTTGAGGTCTAAATATAAATATAACTTATATCAATATTACAAGTAAACAAAAAGTAGGACAAATGAAATCCAGAATCATTCGCTAAAAGTAACAAAAAAGGCTGAAAACTTCATGAATTAGTTAAATCTACTGCGTGTGACTGGCTTATTCTTAAAAATTATCTAGGGAATAATTCTGGGTTAATTTATACAGATTTTTTTTCCATATAACACATCTAAACTGGGGTAAAACAAACTATAACTTTGAGGAACTGCTCTTGAATATTAATTCTACATTTTCCTCTTTTAAGTGCAAATTAGATTAGGGGGGAAAAAAAGTTTTTTTTAGTATAGTGAAAATTTTTGCCAGTGGGGAGGATGCACATTTTGATCATTTTAGCCTTTTTAATAAAGCAGAAGTACTCCTCAAAGCTTATGAAGTCAGTCAAACAGCTGAAAAGAGAGGACAAATGTTTCCTCTTAGGTCATGTGTGTTCTGATAACATAATAATAGCTTGTCATCTCTTAGTCACAGTATTTCCTGCGGTTGTTGTCAACACATTTTCTTCACCTCAGCTACAGCTCGAACTCAGCCCTTTAGAACAGCGCTGTTGCAACTGTAACGCCTGTCAAAGTTGCAGCTATGTTTTCTACATCAGGCTATTTCAGCTCACATACGACGTCTGTGGCGAAACTTCTCGCCGACAGTCAAGACTACTGGGAAAGAGAGCTCATCACCGGCTTATATACACGCCAAAAATAACCAACCAATCAGAGGCGAGCGTTTGACAACCAAAAGAGCCAATCAAAACCGTCAAAGCCCCGAAATGAGTCGTAGAAGCGCTCCTATTGGTCATCTGTGATATCATTCGCCGTCGCGTACGTTTCTCGCAGCTGATTGGCTGCGGCGCGGCAGCCTGAAGGGGGCGGGGCGGCTGGGGTCCAGGTTTGAATAGGGGAAGTTTGCAGAGCGCAGTTGTCCAGCAGCCAGTCTAGAGCGCTGTTTGCAAAATATCCTGAGCTGCAAAAGGAGAGGGAAGAAGGAAGTGGAACACTGACGGACGGACTGCTGCTAAAAACAACCTTTTTTTGTGTGTGTGTGGCATCGCAAAGAGGATCGCTCTTTGAAACGCAGCTGTATAGATTTTTTTCTTTTTGATTCATTCAGAAAAAGAAGTTTGTGGAAGAAAAATGGATGTTTTACCTATGTGTAGTATTTTTCAAGAACTCCAAATAGTTCACGACACAGGCTATTTCTCAGCCTTACCATCCCTGGAGGAGTACTGGCAGCAGGTGAATATGAATTATTTTTATTTGCGCTTCAGCTGGAACCTTACATTACGCGCTCCTGTCAGATCAACGCAGAGTTCAGGCGCTTCGCATCAACTTCATATAAAATCCTGCTGTAAGTGCGGTGGAAGCGGGGCACCGTTACTGATCCGCTCTCAGTTTCGGTATGAAGTTGCGCTGGCACGCTGCAGCTTTGACACTGACAGCAGCTCAGTGCGGCTGGTGCTGCATGGCGCTCAGAATGAATGGAGAGACAGCGAGCCCCATTCAGAGACAGCGCTGTGTTTTTATTTTTAGACAGACTTCTACAATATAAAGCTTAGTGCTTGTTTTACATCCGAGGAGCTGCTTTCGATCCTTTATAAGAAAGAACAAAAAAAAAAACAAACGCGCACGGTGAGGGAGGAAGTGCAGTTTTGAACTCCCCAGATGACAGATAATCAAACCATGCGTTTGCTTTGACAGCGTTTTCCTGCTCCATCACGCTCACCTGCATTCACCCTGAGGTTTGAATGAAGTCCATAACGTGACGCTATTAAATGTCAAATACTTTGCGCATGAGTAGAGACGACAGCGCGGCTTGGAGACGTTCAGGGAAGGCTGCAGGGGCGCTTCCACAAAGTTTTCCATTTTTTGAGGGGGCTGATCATCATGAAGGGGCTTTTAGAACTTTTTAACAAACTGGAGACCATGTATAACTTTAGAAAAATTCACTTTATGCCAAAAAATATGAAATAAACGCATGTAGTGATCTGTTTCATTTTAAATGACAACAAAAGCCACTCTTAAGTTATCTATAAATGTATGTTTGTTTGTTTTTTTACTAAAATTTTGAACAGTTGCTCTCTAAATATGGTGATAGATTTAAGGTTAATGTGCTTCTTTCAACAAATGTTTTAGTAGAATTTTGTCAGCTTTAGTTTGAAAGATGCACTACCTGAGTAAGCATGATAGGGGGCGCTCTTTTAGTTTCCCTATGTCTATGAATTGTGTTTTTGTTTTTTTTTTACAACCAAAAATATTTCCCTAAATCATCTTTGAATGGATCTATAAAAAGTATTAAGGTCTAGCCGACTTTATACAGCCAGCTGACTGGCAGTGCACAGCAATATCTGAGGAATGAGGGGAGGTTTAAGTAACGTTACTACATTAAAGTGAACAAATTCTGATTTTTTTTTTTTTTAGTTTGACCTGTATGAGTCATGCAGCACATTTTTTATTAGACTTACGATTAGGACTATCTTTAAAATCCTTATCTTAGTGCTGGATTCAATCCTAATTGAATTGTGAAAGAACCGACCACACTTCTGCTTATTTTAGTTTATGGGGTTAAATCCTGAGAAAAAAGCATTTTATTGGAATTGTCAGGTCAGACAGAAGAAGCCTAAACATAATCTATTTATGTAAATGAATGAATGAATTAATTAATTTGTAGACAAAAGTGTTTAAATATCAGGGTCACGCAAATGCCCTCTCCAAGTTAAAGTGTCCTCTTCCCCTTTAGGCCCCAAATACTTTTGAGGTTCCAGAGGCCTGTAGGGGAACATTTTAATTCATATCTGCCTTTCCTCTCAGCACCATCAAAACAAACTCCTACTCGCCTTGTTTCCCTCAGCTTTAATGGCCGCAATGTTCATATTAAGTAAAGTGGAAGTTGCAGAGTATGTTTTACTGGACTTGGTAGTTGCTGAGGGGAAGACGTGATTGCATGTCTGCAGGAAAAGCAGCTGAATGGTCCTTTGAGGCTGCAGGGGGAAGTTGAGTGTCTTCCTTAAAAGGACTCTAAAATTTGCTCAGTGAGTCATCAGTGCCGAAGCGCCGAGATGACAATGCAGGTTTGCCTGCTGGAGACTTCCACCGGCTCACTGCTTGTCATGTGGGGTTTGATGATGGTGATTTAGGGAGGCGAGGTTAAGGAACAAATGTGAAACCAGATGTGCCATATTATTTTCCCCTATGAATCATTCAGGTCTGCAGAGATGATATTAAACGCTCCTGCCACGTTCTCGCTCAAGAAGAGATGTGCTTCAGTAAAGTGTCCCATCGGTGCTCTAAATTGCCGGCTTAACTATGCACAGAGGAATCAAATCCATACTGTTTCCTAAATTGCTGAAGCATCGGGCCTGATCTCTAAAAGTGCAGGCATAGCCGGGATTTCCTGGTTTGCTCTTCCTGCTGTAAGCATTTAGCAAACATGACACATCGCCAAAAAGCATGTTGGGGATGTGCACATGCATGATTTAATAGGATTTCCCTCACAGAGGCTTTCTGCTGCTGTGAGTGAACCTCCTCTCTTCAGGGAAGCTGTTGAACTAATGTTTCTTTTATTTTTTTCCTTCTCTTCGAATTCTGGCAGACTTGTTTGGAGTTGGAGCGCTACCTACAGAGCGAGCCCTACGTCACCTCGTCTGAGCTTAAGTTCAGCGCCCAGGAGGACCTCTGGAGCAAACTGATTCTAGCCTGCGGCGACAAGGCCAAAGCTGAGTCTGACCCTAACCTGGCCCCAGCCCTCGAGGAGGACAATCAGGACAACCAGATCTTGGACACCAACAGCGTGAACTCTGATGCCAGCAGTGAAGCTTCGGACAGTTTTGAGGAGCTCTCCCCCACGCACAGCTTTACATCCAACCCGTTGGGGTCCGTCTTGGTCGGCTCCGGACCTTTTAGCCCCTCGGTCATCAGCACCCCTCCGTCGTCTCCTGAGGCCACCGTCGGCGCCGCCTCGGCGGTGAACGGCTGGGTGGCCACGCACGCCGGGTTGAACCTGCCGGTCAAAATCAGGACCGGCGGCGGAGTCGGGGGAGCAGCGGGGAAGGCTGCAGAAAAGACTGGATCCCTCTGCGGGGACACATCCCCAGACGCCCGGAGACGGGTGCACAGGTGTCACTTCAACGGGTGTCGCAAGGTTTACACGAAGAGCTCGCACCTGAAGGCGCACCAGCGCACTCACACAGGTGAGTTTCAGTGGGAGTGAAGGAAGCATGTGCTCTGTGTGTAAACAGGAGACGTAGGGGGTGTTCAGTTCATCTGCGGTGGTTTCAAACCAAAGAAAATAACCCATCAGTGACTGCCGGAAGTGGTGCTAATCGAGTCCACCTTAATGGCAGTGCCCCCCCTCCTTTTGTGTAACGTAATTAAAGGTCCACATTGCATGACGTCCTCAGCTGGAGCGCTGCTAGCATTAGCTCTGCATGGCTGGATACCTAAACTGTGACCTAATCTATGTGGAATGTGACTGACGGAGCCAGTGAGTGAGCGAATGGCAGGGAGGGAGGGACGGAGGCAGGGAGGGAGGAGTTGGTTGCACATGGGAGATAAAAAGACTTGCAAAGAGATTGAGTTTCACCATGGGAAAGGGGTGAGTGGGCGGGGGAGGCAAAGAGGCCTCTGTGTTTTGAATGTTCATTTAAATGTCCTCTATTTATATTTAGTAATGCGTTTTCTTTTAGTTTGCATGTTAGTATCTACTCCCTCCAAACATTCCCCTACATAGAAATGCAGTCTGCATTCTCAACATGCTGCAGGTTTCATCAGAATCCGTACTGAGCCGACAGGCTCTGTGGAATTCCACTCTCGGTTGGATTGTCTGCACCCGTGTTTCGTCATCTGATCAGCACCCACCCATGCTCGGCTCATTTGAATGCATTTTAATAACAAAAGCCGCAGCTTTGCTGGGAGGGAGATGACAGAGCAATCTACTGTAGGGTCCCTCTAATGCCTTCCTCTATCCGCCCCACAGGTGAGAAACCATACCGGTGTTCGTGGGAGGGCTGCGAGTGGCGCTTCGCACGGAGCGACGAGTTGACCAGACACTTCAGGAAGCACACAGGGGCAAAGCCATTCAAATGCAATCACTGTGACAGGTAAGCCGGGCCTCTCCTGTTTGCGATAAGGTTGCTGTATCTGCAGCTTTCTGCGTCATCAGATGCAGATCTTTAAAGATTTAAGCCATTGCTGCAACACAGTCAGGCAGCCAAAAACAAGCGTATGCAGAAACTTGGATATCATCTCTACATCTAATGTTTTGACCAATCCTGGGTTACTCTACAAGTATTTTTATCCCTTTTCTGTTGAAAAGCCACAAAGCTCCAGTATATTAATGTAACATACCAACACCAGGTGCATACTTACGCAATTGTTTTCAATGTTTATTTTGAACATGCATATGTGAACACTTTATGAAGTTTCTGTAAATGCCTCAAAGTTCTTGTTTTGTTTAAAAAAAATGTATTTTATAATTGCATCGTGAATATTTAGGAATAGAGCCAAAAGACCTGTGGCAACTTCTGAGATCCACTCACCAGGGTGGCAAATGTTTTTGACAGTTTGGCTAGCAGATGATTGCTCCAAAAATCAGACTTTTATGGCTCAAAGTTTGCAACAAACCATGTAGGAAACATTTAAAATATCAGAAATATATTGCTCCGGTCTGATTAGGCCGAACATAAATATAGGGTGGGGAAAGTAATCTGTGGAAAGTCCTTATAACTGTTTGCAAATGTTGTAATCACCTCAAACCCCCAATAATTCTGGTAAAACATGGCGGTGGCAGGAAAATCCTGTGGAATACTTGAATATAGTTGATAAAATCCCTGACAAGATTCGAAATTTCACTCATAAAGACTGAGCTTAAGCTATTTATTCAAAGAAGAGCATGAAACAGTTTATCTTAAGATGTTTAATATTGCCACAGGTGAAGAAGGGTACATGGAGCTTTTCAGATTTCTGGTTGTAGAAAGAAATATCGAAAGCCTCTTTTTCTGCCTCTGATTTCTGCACCACTCTTCTGATGGTCTGTCAGATGAAACCCCATTAAAACACATTAAGGTTGTTAGGGGACAAAGATTGAAGAAGCTGTAACATTTTTAGTGAAGGTCAAACGATAGTTTTATTTTCTACTTCTAAGAACGATACTGATTATTTTGACTACAGGCATTTGAATTGAGAAAGCTTCCTGGAGAGGTGGCAAAACGTCTTCAAATCTTGGAAAACCAAATCCAGTGGATATTTTTTGAATTTTTACGGAATATTTTGACTACAGTTTAGCCAATCCTCAATATGTGCTTCTGATTCTTGACGATATTCCTTTTTAAGGGGAGTGGAGGCCTAGTGGTTAGGGCAATAGAGCTGGGAATCCTGAGTTGGAGCCCCACTCCCACAGACTGCCACTCCGGGTCTCTAAGCAAGACCCTTAACCCCCGATTGCTCCCCACCGCCACACAGTCCACTGCTTAAATGCAGAGGTAAATTTCTCCAATGTGAGATCAACAAAATGCAATTATTATTGCTCCAATTATATGATAAAATGGTAAATTGATTAAAAAATGTTGCGCAAGTCTTTATAAACAAACAAAGCATTAACATTGGATAGCAAATGGAACAAGCGGCAATGCATGTGCTTTAGGGGATTTCCAGGCGTTGCTGCTGAATACGCCAATGAATTAGCAAATGCATGGATGTATTGGCCGATATAAGCGAAAACCAGCTGATGTATCGGTCTACCTCTAACTTTTTGGTCTTTGTGAGCTATCAACCTTAAATCCCTTCCCTCATCAGTGACTGACCTCCTTCCCTGCCCCTCTCTCTGTCCTCAGATGTTTCTCCAGGTCTGACCATCTGGCTCTTCACATGAAGAGACACGTCTAACGCAGGGCGACCGAGTGGCGACAACTGGGCAATGCAGAAAGAGGAATTCCTTTTCTCTCCTTTTTTTTGTTTTTTATTATCTGAGGTTTTTTTTTGGTGGAGATAGAGAGAGGGGAAAGAATGAATCCAAACGCACGCCATCTCTCGACTGGTCTCTTGGTTGAACTGTCCCAGAGAGCAGAGTGGCGAGGAGGGGGGCGTGTCCCAGCCAAAGCATGCCGTTTTGCACCGTACTGAAATAACCCAGTGCCTCCGGGACCTCTCTTTTCAGAGAAGGGCGCTCTGATGGTTGTCTGTTGCAACAAGAGGACGAAATCACGGACGTCGGGGAGGAAATCTTTTTTTTTTTCAATTGAGAACTTTAATTGCAGAAAAGGACAAAAAAATGCTTAAAAAAAAAAACAAACAAACAAAAAAAAAAAAGGCGAGTGAATGATCTGTATGTATGGTGCATGATGTTTTGGGGGCATCTCCCGGACAGCAGATACACTGGTACTTTACAAACCTGTCTGAGGTAAGCATGTGTGCACTGTGAATGTGAGATTGGCTGACCAGCCCCCCCCATTTCTGTGTGGAAGAGGAAGAAGAAGAGGAGCGGGATGAAGAGTTGGATCGGTGCGGGGCTGGTACCAATGTTGCTGTGGACTGAATGAGTTTCTGTGGCAGAGGCAGGGGGGGGGAGACATTCCTGCTGTTGTTTCCCAGGTGGCAGTATGAGGTCGTGGCCGCCTCGTCTGTCTGGCACCCTAACTCTGAAGATGTGGGGATGGAAAGGGGGGGGGATTGCTTCTTCTGAAGCATGTTAGTCCTTGGGTTTGACCAGAAATAGACATGAATCCTTCTGGTATGTGACCCAGGGATTGAAGATCACCCCCTCCCTGAATGACAGAAACTTTTTTTGATGGTTCTTTTTTTTTTTTTGGTGCAGCTACTAAATGTGCAATGTGTTATGTAGCCTGGTTTCTTATTTTTCTACAAGCTACAAAGCCCATTTGTAGTCCCGACTGTATAAGCTGTGTGCTTAGAGGTATAACACAACTATACTATTAACTTCAGTATCATAGACAGGTGTTGCATGGTTCTAGGGGATTGTTCCATTTTTTTTTCTCCGGTTTCCACAATAATCAGGACTGCAAATAGTTTAAAGAAAAGTGCAGCTAAAACGCAAACGGTTAGATGTTACAATATTGTACATAAAAGCCTCGACGATTCTTCTCTTTGTTTGTTTTTTTATTTAAGTAGAGATGCACTAATATGACATGATCAGGTCTGACCTGCACGTAATGATTTTGAACATTTTTTTATTTTTTTTTTTTGCAGGTTAGTAGTTTTGAATTGATCAAAAAAGTGAAGGAATAAATCGTACCGCTTTGTGTACTTAACTGTATGTCTCCAAACTTGAACAGATTTTTGTTTTTATATTAATATATATATATATAAATACACATTTTGTCATTAAACTTTAAAAAAAAAAAAGTTTCCAAGTATTTTCTATTCTATTTGATGATGCCTTTTGAATAGAGAGGGGAAAAAAAGTGGAGATTTTAGGTTTTGATGCATTTAAAGTGGGAAAACAAGCAGCTTTTTTCAGCTTCTAAAGATGCTGATAACAGTTCAGGACTGATCAGAGGAAAATCAGCCAGTTTCACACAACTGGCTGATTAATTGGTGCATCTCTACTTCCATTTCTACATTCTGGTTTTCCATCTGCCTGGAGATTTTCACTGCTGCTCATATCCATCTAATGCCTCAAAGACTTAATTTTTTTGCATACATTTTTTTAATGTCTGTCTATGTGTGTGTGTTTGTACACTTTCTTTCTATCTAATAATGCACTGTTGACCTTAATGGTGCCTTATGCAAGTGACCGCCTTGCGTCGGTCGTCTGAGTGATATTTTTTTATTTCAAAGCTAGATCAAGGCTCAACTATAAAACTGTCATGCTGGTTACAGTTTCGCTTAATTGTGACGTTGAATTTGTAACTGTTTACTTAAAGTACCTGTTAACAGTAGATCGCCTTTAATTGTTTTTTTTAATTTTTTATGACCGAACGGCAGATTAGTCGTTGTTCATCAGATTTAAATTAAGTTTGAACATGTGTATACAAACAAATGCTGTATGTTAAAAGCACTTACATTCATTTATTAAAGGTGTTAACTACTGTGTAGTATGTACCCGAGTCCATCTCACACAGTGCAAAGGTACAAGTGACTAACATTTAAAAAAAAAAAATAAAAATTACATGGTTTCATTGTATTTACACAAATGTTTTAATCAAAAAAAATTTTGACATTAAAAGTCGCATTTAGAAGTACTGGTCGGTGCTCAGCAACAGCTTGGGGAGGGGGGAGCGCAGTGCTGCTACACTGTCTTAATTTTTTCTTTCTTTTTTCTAAGCTAACTTTAATGTACCTTGATCCTGGTAGTCAGCCCGTGGCTAGTCCCCCGCTATCACCCCCTCCTCGCTGTCCCTGCATCCCTGTAAGTGGGACTGAAGAAAAAGCTAAAGATTTATTGTAATTAACAGGCTGCAGTCGGACAGGCCTCGCCTTGTACTGCCTCTCGGTAATGAATTGCTAAAGGCTTTGTTGGCATGGAATCTGTCACAGACTGCTGACTGTGTAGGTTGGCTATTGACCTGTCTGGAGCACGTTGTTTTAGCCAAGCTGCAACTGTAATACGGAAACCACAGTAGCGAGCGCGCCAGAAGAAGGGGTGACTGGGTGCACGTCAAACTTTCACGGCTCATGAGGAAATTTGGCCCAAAAGACAAACGTGGGTAAAGATTGAGAGTGGCTAAAAAAAAAAGTGGCTGGGATTTTTACTTATTAATGCTTCAGGATGAAGCGATCTGTCCCTCCTGCCCCGGGTCAGCGACCCCCGATGTAGGAATCCAATGTTGCAGCAAGTCTCAAACCGCGGCACACTCCGAACGTATGGATTTCAGATCACTCGGGCGGAGGAAAGGGGATGAGTATAAACTTGAAAATGCTTGCTGCAGTAGATTTGGGAGTTGCTGCCGATGCCTCTCGTGGGCAAAGAGCTGCAGCAGCATCTATTCTGTGCGAACAGCAGCCAATACCGTTCAAGTGATAATTGAGCCTTGATTTAGCATCATGTGTTTTTTTTTTTTCTTTCATTTTGCTCGCATCTATTTACACCTCTCCATCATCTCTTTCATCCCACTCGCCTGGCTGTTCTCTCACATAGAAAACACTCTCTCTCTCGCTCACACACACACACACACTCAGCTCTTTGTTCTCAACTGAGTCTTTGTATAAAAAAAAAAGAGAAAAAGACTTTTGTAAAATTGTTATGTTTATGCTTTATGAAATTTTTATTTGAAATTGTTTTGCAAAATTGTTATATTTCTGTATGAATGTATTTTTTATTGGAATAATAAGAAATTCTTATCTGACTTTGGCTCGCTTCCTTTGTTTCATCAGTTGATTCTCCTCAGTTGGGCTTTTATTACTTTGAGTGCTTGTTGTGCTTAAGTGGAGGGAAATGGCTGGATTGCATCCTGCTCTGCAGTACTCAGGTTAAATTAGACTTGAAGATATAGTGCTATGCAAAAAATATTCATATCCTTTAAGAGTATTTAAAGATTTTTCAACCCATTACAAACCCTAATATGTTTAATTGGAAAACTATGCAAGAGACAAACAAAGTTCTCAATAAACATAACCGATACCTGGTTTCTAACAGTTTTTACATGGAAAAATGTGGCCAGCATTTGTCCTCAATCATCCTGCAGAAATTTATTGTTCCAACTTTTCAGCAATGCCAGTTTTCATAGAGATGTCTCAGCTTTTCTCATCTACTGTAGAGATATTTTTGCTCATTCGTCTTTACAAAATAGCTCCACCTCAGATTGTAAGGAAAGCGTCTGTGAACATCGGTTTTTTCGAGGGCTTACCACTGATTCCCTGTTGGCATTAGATCTAGGCTATGACTGGGCCTTGCTAACACATATGTCCAGCCTTCTTTCCCTCATGGAAAGCAAACAATCGCTCCATCCATCTCCCCCTTAACTGTGACTAACTTATCTGTCCCTCTTTAAAACAAATACCCAAACAGCATCATGCAGTTATCATCATCTTACACTATAATTATGGTATATTTAGGGTGATGCGTGTATATTTTCCTCCTCTCAAAGTCTTTTGCATGTAGGTCACATATGTAAATATTGGTCTCCTCTCAACAGAGAAGCTTTTTTTTAATAAATGTTCTGTCTCCTTTAATAGTTTGGTTGGAAACTATCTTCAATCTTTGGTAAAAGTCAGAATTGAAGTGAAGGTCTAAGAATCTTCCCTCTCACCCACTGGAAAAAAAATCAAAATCCAGATAAGTAAATTTTTTCTTAAAATAAGTGCATTTGTTCTTGAATTGAGGAGATAAAAGATCAATTTTGCCAATGGAACAAGATAATTTACACTTAAAATAAGAAAACATAATTGCATTGTCTTACTCCAAGTGCATATTATCTAATTATCTTATTTTAAGAGTAAAAATGCTCTCTCCGTTGGCAAACTATCTCATTTTCCGACTCAAATTAAGGATAAATACACTTAATTTAAGACATTTTTACTTATTTCAAGATCGTTTTTCAGCCGTGGATCTCTGCAGCTCTTCCAGTTATCAATGACCTTATGCTCTTTTCTCTAACTAACGCTCATGATGTGGGAAACTGTTTCAGTGGGCAGCCATATCCTGGGTGGTGCCATCCTGTTTCCATTTATAAGTGATGGATCCAAGGACTGTTTGAAATGATCAGAGCTTGGTAGTGTCTGCTTTAAACTTCTCTACAACTTTGATCTGACCTGTCTGCTGTGTTCTTTTGTCTCAAGGAAGTTTTTCATTGGTAGTTCAATGCATTTTATCTCAGGGTCTTGGGCTGAATATATGCACAGCACTGAAAAATGTGTTCATTATCTTATCTATCAAAGAATCTGAGGTGAAATTATATGTTAAAAAAAATAAGCGGGACAAATATGTTGTCATTAAAAAGGAAAAATTGGATGACAATTTAGTAGGGAAACAGAATCCGATCTGACTTATTTTTCAGAAGGATGGGGAAGAAGTTTAGAAACTACCCTTTGAGACTCATCCTAGAGTTTAAAATAACAGTAAATCTGTGTCCATTTAATCCAAGGCAAATATCTCAGCTTATAGTTAATAGATATTTCTGGCAGTAGAAACTTCAATGACTACAGATGATTAAAATGTGCTTTAAAGAAAACACAGATGCAAGTCAGATTTTTCAGTTGTTTAATATCAATATAAACACCAAACAAATATTCCACAAGTCAAACATGCAGTAAAACTAGATTACATAACAAATGCGCATTATGAAGCTTACCAAATGCTCCGTCTCTGCTGCCAAACAAAATGTCAGTAAATTCTGCCAAAACAAAAGTCTCTTCATTAAATAAGCAATTTAGCATATCTGCTTCAGACAACCAAAACAAATCAGGATGAGGCATCATTTTAAACAAAAAAACAAATGAAAACACAACAGACAGTTGAATATAAAGAGAAATTCACCCTCAACCTCATTAAGTTCACTAAACAGGGATAAATGTTTTGGATTGTGGATCAACTGCCAGACGAAAAGTACCTTTTCCTACCTGCCGACACAGGGACCTCTGACTTCTCTCTATTTTTACTTTACAAATCATTTAGTTTGAAATATTTATTTAAATACAAATTCTCCCATGAGATTTTTTTGGCTTGATATTAGTAACACAAGCTAAAAACTATATGTATATTTATTTAAGTTGAGGTTTTCTCCTGTAACAACTCATTTTTAAACACCTCACTGGAAAAAAAAGAAATCTAGATAAGTTATGTTTTCTTAAAATAAGTGCATTTGCTCTTGGATTGAGGAGATAAAAGAGACATTTTGCATTAGAAATAACAAAACACAATTGCATTGTCTTATTTCAAGTACATTTTATCTAAATATCTTCTTTAAAGAGTAAAAATACTCATTCCATTGGCAAATCATTTATTTTACCTACTCAAATTAAGTGTAAATACACTTAATCTAAGACATTTTTAATTATTTCTGGATCCTTTTTGCAGTACTTTAGCTTGACTGTAACATTAACTATTAAATAGATTATTTCTGTAAAAAAACAGGATGCCATGTATTTATGTATGACACTTTAATCAACCAATCAATCAAATGCAAAAATAAAAAAATTAACAGATTTCTTTATATTCTGCTTTTATTTATAACATTATACCACAGTAGTTTAGAATGAATTTGTGTCTGTATTGCGAAATGGTTCAAAGGCTGCTAATAGTTAAGCAAGCAAGCATAAAATCTATTTAATTTTCTGGATTGACTGAACTATGCCAGAATTGGTCCCCCCCCCCAAAAAAATATCCAAGAAAAGTTTCCTCAGCACAATATTCTGCTGCAGTTGGTTTAATGTAAAAGAAGATTAAAAAAAGACTCTGACTGCTCATTTCTTCAAGTAATCTAATGCTAATCAAAGCAGCATAAATAATTTATCTCCATCTCTCAGTGCCCATGGCATTTTAATTCGAGAGCAGCCTTTATACATTTGTTAGCTAATTACTCTACTTGATATGTATAATGATACAAAACAGCAGTTGATAAACCAAAGAGGCTACTTTAAGACAAACTAACATCAGTATAAGATGAAAAAAAAACATCCTTTCCATTCCTCTTGTGTTCTCTGTTGACCTCGCATGGGCAGGCAACGTATAAGTACCTCTGATTTCCAGTAAAAGCCCAGTGGTTTTTCTAAACGAAGCTTTTCCTCCAGTTGGTAATTAAGCCTCCCAGCTTCAGAGTGTTGAGGAGTTGTTGTTTTTTTTGCCTGGGACGCCGGAGCTCCTTGATCTTCCCAAACTGCTGCCTCGCTTAATTTGTCAATATCACGTCTAATGCACAGGCTGAAGAGAAGCCGCTCAAAGGCGAAGCGAGTCATTCTGCTCATAAAGGAAAGCCCTCATCACTATTAAGCTGGTGTTCAAAGTATTTATCCAGGGTTTAATGCATGTTTTTGAATGCAGCTGATTTGTGTCATTATCAGGGGTGGCCCAAGGTTTTATAGGGCCTTAAGCTAAATTGAGTCAGGGGCCAACTTTAAGCCCATCACCCCCCAGCCTCAACGCCATATGTTAAAAGGAGGGTTTATAATCATGATGATGGAAGGGTTAAGTTTATTATAGTTTACTTAAAAGCAGTTAGCTTTGAAAAATGATGCGTTATTTGCCTTCTTATAAATTTAATTTGACCTTAACGTCCAAATTCATCAATATGTTTAGCTATAATGGAAATATAAGTCACTCTGAAATGCAAAAATGTATCTGGCAAAGACAAGATGTGAATGAGAAAAATGTATTTTGGAGGCACAGTGGTTAGCACACACGATCTGTTTATAGAGGCCTTAGTCCTTGATGCTGCCGACCCGGGTTCGAATCCAACCAGTTGTCTTTTGCCGCGTGTCTCTCCTTTCCTGCCACCCTACTGTCCAAAAACCGAGCCACCAGTGCCGTAAAAACAAAAAAAAAAATGTATTTTGTTGGTTTTTAAAACATAGTAGAGATTTCACAACTATATTTTGAGATACAGTTGCTATATTATCAGCGTAGAGTGCAACCGTATAAATGTATCTGATTCTAAAGTCATACTGTTCCCAAAAAATGAAGCTAAACCAGAAGCAAAGCATTTAAATTTTACTTTTTTATTTCTATTACACTTTTAAAAACCCCAAATCACTTGT